ATACACTTTGGTATACTTCTTTTAAGCTATCTTCAATTATCACTCAGTTTGACAATTGGTTGTTGGTGGCTTTTCAACTCCACGTTGACTTTGAAAAATGTTCATCTTTTAAAAGAAAAGCGCGATCACAGAACGGCATTTTCAAAAGTGAAAACTCTGTAATTTGAACAAACCTGGCCGTTTTGGTCATCGGTCCTTCAATGACGTATACGTGGCCCGGGAGCTTCCACTTGGAGAAGACTTTTTGATTCCGTTTACCTGTACGGCATTATTTTTTTTAGTACACCTGTATTTTCAATAGCTTTTTTGAATGATAGATAAGCATTTTATGTTTCTCCAGTTTTTTACCCGATTTATTTGAGTTTATGTATTGCGTTGGAATAAAATTTCATTTTTCAAGGATAGAATCTTCTTGAGGGCGTTTACCGGAGTATTGAGTAGGCAGTTCATTGACAAGATAGTGTTTCAGGCAGCTGATGTAGGATCGGGAGGACCAAGGTTTGCGGCATCTCTTCGCGCAAGTCTCTTGCTTTTTACGGCTGTTGTTGTATTTTTTTTAGTTGAGATTTACTTCCTGCTTGTTTTCTGACTTTAGTCATCCTTGTTCGAAGTTTGTCGCATTCTTGCGTCCACTTCTACAGCATTTTCCCGGCTTTTTGCTCTGTTGTTCGAAGAAAGAGCGGAGTGTTTGTCGGGTCTTGGGATGGTTTTTTTCTCGATACAAATTGCTGTATATTATTTGAAAGGTAATGACGTCTGATGTTTTAGTAAAGATTTTTTTTTCATAAATTATGGGTTGTTTATACTGCGACTATCTTGATCCAGTTTTCTCTAATTGGGTTAATTTTCACAGAAAGTATCCATTATAAACTATTCTACAAAATTCAAGAGCTTTAAAGCCATCAAAGCATATTAATTTCTCCGAAATTCAAAAGTTGAAGGCTCTTGAAGAAACAATCAGTTTTTTTTCAGTATCCTTGCGTTCATTGCTCTTTTCCAACTGTTACTTGGCTATGTTTGTTTTTGAAGCTGAAAAATGCAATCAAGACTAAATCAACAAAAGTTACATAAAAGACCTATATGAATTTTGTTTATCAGCTATACAACATGGTTGATTTTTTCATGGGTTTTAAATTGTTGATTTTTTTTCAAGTAGTGTAGATACAAGTCTTCTAACAAAGGAGTCTTGTATCAACATAATTGCCCCGTATCATACGCCTCCGGCATATCTAATTGTGACAGGGCGTGTATGGGGATAAAAGTGAGCAAGGATTGGTCAGAAGCTGCTAAACTGTTTCTTGAGTTGTAAAAAATCGCGTTTCCTTGTTTTGTAGCGGGCTGAACAGTTCTAAGCATGTTTTGCATTACTTGTTATCTGTTAAGAATTTTTGACACTTTGCAAATGAGTATTTTCTAAAGGCCAACATCCTGAAGATGTGAAACTTGGTTCCATTTTCTCGTTTCTTCTTTATGGTTATAAAATCTTAAGAGTAATGAACGTAGTGGGTACTCTTTTATAGGTCTTGTTGATTTTTGTTTTTTTTTCAGGAAAAAGTTCTAAAACTTGTTCACGCTCAGTTTTGATTTTTCGAGGTTTGACTTGTGATTTTTTTTGTTCAGTGCATTTCCATTGTTGAAAGGAAGGAAGGCAAACTCCACTATCGAACAGCAAAAGTGTAAAGATCAGGAAAACGTGATCGGCTTCTGATTTCGGAAATGTAAATTAGTTATCAGATTTCCCAGCGAAATTAAAGTTTTACATATTGATCCAGTTTTCTCAAATTGGGTTAATTTTCGCAAAAAGTATCCATTATAAACTGTTCTACAAATTTCAAGAGCTTTAAAGCCATCAAAGCGTAATAATTTCTCCGAAATTCAAAAGTTGAAGGCTCTTGAAGAAACATTTAGTTTTTTTTCCTTGAGTTCATTACTCTTTTCCAACTGTTACTTGGCTATGTTTGTTTTTGAAGCTGAAAAATGCAATAAAAACTAAATCAACAAAAATCACAGAAAAGACTAATACGAATTTTGTTGATCAACAATCCAACATGGTTCATTTTTAAATGTTTTAAAATGTTGATTTTTTTTCTCAAATAGTGTAGATACAAGTCTTCTAACAAAGTAATCTTGCATCAGCATTATTGCCCCTTATCATACGCCTCCGGCAGATCTAATTGTGACAGGGCGTGTATGGGGTGGATAAAAATGAGCAAAGATAGGTCAGAAGCTAAACTTTTTCTTGAGAATTGATTGTTCAGTGTCCAGAAAAACTGGTTTGAAGTTTAGTCTAATTTCGAACGAGTTACGTGATCTGATCGAAAAGCGTTAGTTATTACTTGTGTGAGCCAGCGACTGTAGTGTATAGTATAGTTCTACTCTTTGTCCAAATCAAATGGCTTTTTTTACTTGAATCACGGTCTGAAGCATTGGAAATGGCTTAGCTTTATTTACGGCAGGCATTCGATGTTCTGCAAGCGACGGTGGCACAGAGGGAAAGACGTCAGATTACTAATATACTGTTCATAGTTTCGATGCCACACTTAGCAATAGTTTGATTTATAGTTGTTGGAATTTTTACTGCATAGCATTGGCAACTTGTTAGCATTTGCAGCTGCTTTATTGATGGCTAGTGTGAGAAAATTTCAAAAGCTCATGGAGCAGAAACGAGAACTTGAGACCCCAAATCTCGAAATCGCAGTTTCGATTCCGACACCTTGAAAAAGTTGTTTTTAATTCGAAGCTTATTTTAACCTTTCCTTTTTCATTTTTTTGTAGCTGCTTTTTGTCGTTTTCTCGCTCGTGTTTGCGAAGTGCAGCTTCGCCTCTGTGCATGAAAGTTGGTCCTTTGGGATCAGAAAACCTGATGTTACTAAGAGAAGCTAGTTTTGGAAGCAAGTTTTTGGCGCAACCTGGGCAATAAAAGTTCTCTAAAACTTGTTTTTAATGATGGTACAAAAGATTTTTTTTTTCATTTTTTTGTTATTCATTTTTTTCAGACAACTGTGCCTAATGCACTATTTTTTCAAGCGTTTATAAATATCTTTCATCACGCCACGCACAAAAAACGACACTTTTTTTGGAGAAAAATAATAGTTAATGATTTTGGTCGGCTATCCTTGTTTGTTTATTGCTTATAGTGTTTGACTTCTGGAGTTTTGCTTCCTCTGTATCAGTGGTTCGGCTTCTGATTTGATGGAAGCTCCTTTTCTGCACAGAGCTGAAATTTCGCAATTTTTTGAAGTCAATTTTAAGTTTATCAGCTGTTATTTATCTTTAAAATTAAAGTTTGCCTTTGTTTGAGCTTTCGTGAGCTCTTCCACACTCTTTTAACTATCGATTGGCCATTTTTGTGTTTCAGGATATTCTTCAGACTGCTGAAAATAGGTTTTTTGATGTTTTTTTTTGTGAGAATTCAGATGTAAAAATATAAACGTCAGATGGGGCTGACAATTCTATCATCTGTCTTAATTAAGCCTTCATATCCATAATACGAGTTGCAGAGATGCTGTGGACATTTTGTTTCTCATTTCATTTTTTTTCATATTGCAGTTTTTACAGAATTAAAACAACAAATATAATTTGTTATACTTCTTTTAAGCTATCTTCAATTACCACTCAGTTTGACAATTGGTTGTTGGTGGCTTTTCAACTCCACGTTGACTTTGAAAAATGTTCATCTTTTAAAAGAAAAGCGCGATCACAGAACGGCATTTTCAAAAGTGAAAACTCTGTAATTTAAACAAACCTGGCCGTTTTGGTCATCGGTCCTTCAATGACGTATACGTGGCCCGGGAGCTTCCACTTGGAGAAGACTGTTTGATTCCGTTTACCTGTACGGCATTATTTTTCTAGTACACCTGTATTTTCAATAGCTTTTTTGAATGATAGATAAGCATTTTATGTTTCTCCAGTTTTTTACCCGATTTATTTGAGTTTATGTCTTGCGTGGGAATAAAACTTCATTTTTCAAGGATAGAATCTTCTTGTGGGCGTTTATCGGAGTATTGAGTAGGCAGTTCATTGACAAGATAGTGTTTCAGGCAGCTGATGCAGGATCGGGAGGACCAAGGTTTGCGGCATCTCTTCGCGCATATCTCTTGCTTTTTACGGCTGTTGTTGTATTTTTTTTAGTTGAGATTTACTTCTTGCTTGTTTTCTGACTTTAGTCATCCTTGTTCGAAGTTTGTCGCATTCTTTCGTCCACTTCTAAAGCATTTTCCCGGCTTTTTTGCTCTGACGTTTGAAGAAAGAGCGGAGTGTTTGTCGGGTCTTGGGATGGTTTTTTTCTCGATAAAATTGCTGTATATTATTTGAAAGGTAATGACATCTGATGTTTTAGTAAAGATTTTTTCATAACTTATGGGTTGTTTATTTTGCGACTATCTTGATCCAGTTTTCTCTAATTGGGTTAATTTCTTGAAAAAAGAAGCAGTCATAAATGGTTCGTGAAATTCAAAGAGCTTTATTTTTTTTTCTTCAATTCTCGAAAGTTCAAGTTTTTTTAAAACAACAAGTCGGTTTTTTTCTGGTTCCTTGCGTTTTTTTTAATCCTTTCCGATTGTTTTGTTACGAGATTCTTATAATTTACAAAACTTTTTCTTTGTACTTCACATGGCGTGTGGGTGGATAAAATAATTAAATAAAAAGAAAAAACATCAATATTTTCAATTTATTTAGGAGTTTTTATAAACCAAATGACTTTAAAGGGCAATCGGAGAATTCAGGTCTTCGCCCTGATACTAGCAGTCTTGTTAGGGGTATCGAATTCCTAGCAGCTGTTATTCCTCTGCTTTGCTTTGAAAGTTCTGTTCTACTTCTTAGCATAGCAATTGGTTTTTGTTGTTTGACTAATATTTTTAGTTCCTTATATATTGCAATCAAGCCGTAACAAGGCTGTAGCTAATGCAAGCTGTTTGAATGATTAAGCCAATTGATGCTCAATGGGCATCAAAAAGTATATGGTTTCCGTTGCTCATATTATATTTTTGAGTTTTTTGTAGCTCTGCAAGACGTAAAAGTGGTGGTGGAGTTAGCTAGTATGTCTGCCGGTGAAGTCCAGTATGACCTAAACAAGGTCAAATGTTTCCACGATGCTGTGTTTGGCTATGCACCCTTCATCTACGAACTCAACTCAAAGAGTGACTGGGATGACGTGAAATCCGCTTACGGAAAAGTATTCGCAAAACTTGAGATGGATCCAAGTTTGCCCGAAAAGTATGGAGACAGCGCGCGACATTTGTCGTGGATCGAAAAAGCACTTGAAAATCAAGGTTCAGTCGAAAAAAGCTCCCTGGAGAAGGCGTTCCAAATAAATAACACAGGTGTCTATATAGTGAGATATTCTCCCCAATCGGAACGAAACCGAAAAGTCCTAATCGAGCCTGAAGATGCAGTGATGTTGCATTACAAAGAAGAAATGAAATCAGCTGACAGTCAAGTGACCGAAGAAAACCGAGAGTTGAATTTAGCCGAATTGCGAGATCTTCTCAGTCGGCTGATGCTGATAGTCGGCAAAGAGAAACACGAACATGCTCAAAGTGTTGATATATTCATCACGACGTTCCAGAACATTGAACGGCTTTCATCTTCATTTGTGACTTTGTACAATTCTGGGTGTGATTTTTTCAATGCTTGGTCTGCTCACATCAGAACAAAATTGGACAAGAAAACACTTTCTGCGCTGGAGATCAAGTTGGGAGAAACAGGGAAAAAATTGTACTCAAATACCAGAGAGACGAACCTGGAACTTTCAGATCTCTGTATTGCGTTGGAGTCTATTAAAGAGAAATGGGAACAGTACGTTTTTGCCATGCGGTGCCGACTCCCAATTTTGAACGAATTCAACATGCAACAACTGAGTTCCCTTTGCTCGGGACTGGCAAAACTCAAACGCAACACAACACAGATTGACGAAGCTACGAAATATTACTTAGAGTCCATCGACCCAAATATCAGCAAGGACGACATTGTTCAGTTCCTGTATGAAGATTATGATGACAAAAACATGGAAACCGAAGACAGTGATTCCCTTGACATACAGAATCAGCCAATTGCCTTAGACGAACTTACAGGTAAAGCCCACGTGGACGAAAGAAGTGCTTGGCTCAATTTAATTGATAGCTTAAAGAGCCAATTCAAAGACAATGAAAATCTAGCCAAGGCTGGAATCCAAGCGATTCGAGATACGACCGATGGCTCATGTGAAAATTGCGATGAAGGTGATGCTGTGAATTGGATCATGGATCACGAAGACCAGGAAGAGATCATTGAGAACTTATCGCGGAAGTTTGAAGATCATTTTGGTTCCCTAGATAGAGCTGAAACTACTGGAACCGGTTTGGACAAAAGTGGAAACAAAATGGATCTCAGCAATTTTGCACAGTCGATGGAACATGTTTTTGACAAATATTTATCAGGCATGAAAGAAAACTCCTTGGAAAATTACGTGAATCTTTTCCAACTTGGGTACGTCCTGAATAGGTGCCTGGAAAAGAAGCTGGATCATGAAAACACACCTGTTGATTTGAACTATCCTGAGCATCTGAAACTGGGGAAACCAAATTTGGTAATTTGTGAAAAGCGCTCTGACATTCTTCTCTACATTATGTCATTGTACAATTTCATCGCAAAGCAGAAATTACCGGACTATAACCAAGTTTTGCTATGCAGTGCAACAACGTCTGTTGCGGAAGTTGAAACCTTCATGCTCCGTGCTATGCTGGAACCCCGAAATAAAGTGTACTCAATTGCTTTTGCAGACGATCTTAGTCCTACGTGTGCAGATCAAATGGGGAAATTGTTGTTCGAAAAAATGAAGGATCCGAGGCCATCCTACAAGTTGATAGTGTTTAATTGTGACGATAGTAGCCAAGTATCGGTGGCGCTGGAGAAGTTTAAAGCGAGGTTTGTAAAAGAGTCGGAAGATGACTTGAGAAGCTATTTGTGTGGCAACTTGAGGGCAGCCGAGGATGCTATAGACACTTTCAGAGTCCGATTGATCAGTTCGACGCAACCGTCTTCAGGTATTTCTTTTGAAGATTGTTAGTAGGCGATTGTCAAAAAATGATCTATACTATATTTAAGTGCATTTGACACGTATCTTGCTATGCTTAAGCGTCTTTTGTAACGGTTAAGTGGATAATGTATCTATGCATGGTTCAGTTATATCGTATATTGCAATGCTTAATAAATGTTCATCCATCTATATATTATATGACGGGCGTTTTTCGTTTCAGCGTCTATTTCACCAATTTTCAAACATGGTGGGTTGCTGTCAGGTTTTTCCCATGGGTTGCGAAATTGGCCGCCAAATATGAGTACTCAAATCCTTTTAGTTTAAAAAAGGATTTGTTTAAAGTTAGCCTTGATATAGTTGGCAATGTCAGGATACTTTCGGGGGTTCCGCATCTTGCCTCCACATGTGATTTCTCAAATCTTTTTAGTTTTCGAGACAACGTTTTTATGATTTTTCTAAAATTAAAAAAAAATTAGATTGAGAAAAATGTCAGTTTGACTTAATCAACCCTAGCATAGGGTGCTGTCTTGGCACTTTCAGGGTTTGCAAAACTTTCCTACATTTTTGACTGCTCGAAGTTTTTTAGTTTCCCAGATAAGCTGTTGTTTAGGAGTTTTCAAAAAATTTGATTTAAAAAAATAGTTCTCAAAATTTGAAATTCTTGATCCTTCGGTGGGGGGATGTCAAGGAACTTCCAGCTGTTGCAGATAAATGGAGAAATGGTGTTTTTTGATAGTTCACAAATTAAAAAAAAACTCCAAATGTGAAGTTTTTGACTCCATGGCGGGGTGATGTTAGGCTACCCACAGGAATTGCAGATGTGGCCTCCAAAATTGACTTCACAGATCTTTTCAGTCTTCGAAATTCAACGTTTTTTTTCCTAATGTTTTCACATAGTTCGACCGTTCAATTTTTAATAACTAAGAACTTTTTTGAAATGATTTTTAAGTAATTACGCTTGATTAAACAATTAATTGCAGCAATTGATATACGAACAGGGTAATGAAAATACAAAACTATGTTAAACAAAAATATAAGTTGTGATTATAGTGATATTACAAAGAAAATAGTTTCGGATGAACAACTATGCTGTCGGCCACTTTAAGGTTTTTATTTTTGAGTTAATGCGAAGATATGTCCATTTTACTTTTAAAAAGAACTTTAAACTTATAATGTTAAACTTTTATATAATTTTTTTAATGTTGAATTTTTTAAACGAAGGCGTTATTGGATGCTCCCGTCTATTCTTACGGTTGCATTTAATTTAGGTATTTTTCATTTAAAAAGTTTATAAATAGACAATTTTCTTGTTCATCAATCTGTTTGAAACGTCGTTTTTACAAGATGGTTATGCTGCTCAGAAATTCTCATCCAATTATTCGCCTTAACTGTCTGTCTGTTAACTTTATAATGAATTTGTTGTAGCATATCTGCAAGATCTGACTTTGTCGAAGCAGCTTTGTTAGATAGTTAGTTTCAAAATGGTTTCGTTTTCTGTCAAAATATTTAAAATAGGCGTTGTTGTTCTAATGCGTGATTTAAAAAGTGAGCCCGCATCGCTTTTGCAACCCTTTCCTATTTGGAAAAATCGTAGTCTGCCAAAATTGAATGTGGCGGAGGGTGTACGCCAACGCCTGCCAAACCTGCTGTTATTCTGTGTAGGAAAATCCTTGCATGTGGACCGCTTGGAGAGAGAGACGAAAAGGAAACACAGAGGGAGCTCCCGTGTCATCCTCCGTCTCTATGATCGAAACGTGGACTTCGAAAGAGTGCTGGACTTCCTATGGCGACACAAATCTGTAGCTGTTCACACCATCATTCATTTGGACGTGTCGCCTAATGTAAGCCACCATTCCTATCTTCCGTTCAATCGTGATCCATGGTGGGCACGATGTTTTTTGCAGATTACGAGACAAGAGCAGATCTGATAATTTCCTATTTTCCTTAGACTGAAAAAGCACAGTTCAAATGAAATTCTGAGAAAGCGGCGCAGTAGAACTTATTTTCAAAGATTTTCATAGATCTGGCGATGAAAGATAAGATGATGTTGAATGTGGGAAAAATTCGAACTTTCAAAACATTTCAATCAAACATTTAAGCATGTTTGAGCAACATTTAACGATCGGCTGTAAATTGACAGGTGATGGAAAACGTGGACGAATTGCTGTTCAAACTTTGTGTGCTGGGCGGCCTGGCAGATGAGAGGGGAAAGCTGTTCCTAGCCAAAGACAATTTCTGTCTGGCCATCGAAATGCTGACGCCGCAGGTAAAATTATTCTTTCCTTAGTTTTTTTTGAAATTTTCTTGTTAAGAGTCGATTAACATAGTTAGAATCTTATATAGGTCGTGATGTTTTTTTTTCAGGAAAAGTCTTAAAATACTCTAATAGCTACTGAAGTGCATTCAAACTTTTTGAGTTCAATTGAAACTCATCTACTAAAAGGAAGTCGAAATGCGCTATTCAAATACGAACGTGGAAATGGCGCGAAAAACGTGATCGATTTCTAGTTTCGAAAGTGGAATTTAATTTTCTAGATGTTACAACAGCATAAAAGTTTTACCTTAAACTCCAGTTTTCTCAAACTGAGTTAATTACCAAAAAAGTCAATCGTAAAGTGTTCTTTACACAAGCAAAGCGAAGTGATTATAATGAACAATTTTTTTCCAACCTAAGTCGCATATAAAAGTGCGCATTATTGGTATATTTGGTATATTTCAATTTCATCATATTTAATCGTATTCAAGCACAGGTAATATAACAGCATGTGCAGTTATATACTGGTTTATTTTTAACTAGTGTTAGGTCCTCTTTGATAACAACAGGTGTTATGAAAATGTATGGGATTTGTTAAGTTTTGTTTGTTTTTGCGACCCTTTGAAAATTTTTTGAACTTTTCGCAAAAATTTCATTTGTTTTCAAAAACTACTGAACCAATTTTCAAAACAATGCTGTCATTGGAAAAACCTGCTGCTGTTCTATGTGCCTGCATAATTTGCAAGTCTCTTTTCAGTTAACAGGACCGCTTTCGAAAATTTCAGTAGGGGGATTTTTGACTTATTTGATTTTGAATTAGTTGTTCATTTTTCAAAGAATATATGCATAAATCTGAAATGAACGTTTAAACTAAAGAACTAATCGTTTGGATTTCTCCTTCTCAAGCGGCTATTCTCTAAATTAGGAAGAAAAAAGTTATGGCCTGAATCAAGCCCATTTTTTGACATTTTGGTTAATTTTTAATTACTTTTGAATTTTCTTAAAAACTTCCCTCCCAAATCGGAGAGTAAGAGTTCAACCGGAAGAAAAAACGTGGTATACGAATCTTCTCTGCGCAAGCGGCTATACCCTGCGTTTTGAAAAAATATGGCTTTAGAAAATGCGTTCAGATTTGGGTTTCTTTGCGTTCATTGGCTCTTTTCAAAATGTTCGTTGGATATATTTAAGATTTCATGAATTTAGTGAAGAGTTTTATATAGGTCAAAATGATTTTTTTAAAAAGCCTTATATTTCTTCACGCTCAAAATGGTTTTTCGCGGTTTGACTGAAATCTTGCAAAGTTCAGTTCATTTCTTCTCTCAAAAGGAAGGCAAACTCCACTACCGAACAGCAAAAGAATAAATTTCTCGAATAACGATCAATTTCTAGTTGCCTCAATCGAGTTTTTGAAAATCTTTATCGCCATAAAATGTCCCCTTGAAATTTGAAAGTTTATTTTTTCTCAAATAAAGAGTCAGTTTTTTCTTTACTGTTTTCTTGTGTTCATTGTCATTTTCCTACTGTCTGCTGGCAATATTCTGTTTTGTTTGCTATATAGAATTTCTATGCGAAATAGGAAAATTATATCTATTGATCTGGTTATCTCAAAAGTATGGGTTAATGTTATCAAGATATTTTCTTTCATTGTTCTTGAAATTCTAAGGCCTTATAAATTTTCTCTGAAGCTCAAAAATTGGAGTTTTTCAGAAACTAAGTCAGTTTTTTCGTTTCTTTGTTTTCATTAAGATCTTTTCCAACTGTCATTTGGCTATGTTTTTCCTCGCTATCATATTCTTCAGCTGCATATGTTTTTCCGTTAAATTAAATAGCATTCAGTGTTCATTTTTTCGTAGTAGATACGTCTGAAATTGAAGGTATTTAGACATCAGTGGACATTTTGTCTGTGGATTTTCAGAACTCCTTCGTGGCGTTTTTTAAGTTATGTTTGCATAGTGCAACTTTTCCTCATTAATAAAAATTTTCAATGGTTTATTTTTTCAAAAAGTCGATAAAAACCTTACGATGATGCAGTTTGTTTTGTCAAGCTGATAAATAAGAAAAAAAATTATATTTTGACTCCTATTGGTTTGTTTTCTTAGCGATTCTTGAACATCGTCCGTCATTGTCGAGTTTAGAGACTTATCTGATTGTCTATGGTACAATTTTTTGAACCTATTTATTAAGTACCATAAAGGAAATTTCGCAAAAAAACGGGATACTGGTAATTTTGTTCTGTTTTATTCATTTCTGACTTCATTTAAATAGTTTTGAAAAGAATAAAATATCAGATGTAAATGAATGAAGTTATTTATTTTTTGTTTCGAGCTTTTTTATTATATGAAATGTTTATACTGTTCGTTGACGCTCAGTTTTTGACTTTTTTGGTTAAGTGTTAAGGATTGAAGTAAGTGTTTACTTATTTAGGTCATGCGGTTTTTTCCAGAGTTCCCAAGTCCATAAAATTGTTCACGTTCAATTTTTTTTGCTCACATTTAAACCATAAGTTTCTGTTGACGTTTAAATGTTCGCGTTCAAATTGAGAATTGCTCTCCAATAATGAAAAGGCAGATGGCGCGTTAAAACCTGATTGACGTTGTCGATTGGCGATAAGCAAGGGTGTTGCTAGAAGATTTTTTTTCAGCTAATAAGTGTTATATAAAGTATTTTTTTGCTTGGAAATTCGAAAAGTGAACTCTTTCTCAAAGATGTTTCCTGCTACCTTGAGTTCTTCAAGTCTCTACTAACTGTCGGTTAGCTTTTTTTATTAAGGCTTGTTTGTCGAATTTTTTTCAGAACAGCTCAATTTTTTTCTTCGTGAAATCTTTCCTTACTCTATCTAAAAAATAAAGGAAATTAATTGAATAAATCAAATAACCAGGCAGCAAATAATTCTAGCAAATTAATTCTAGCAAATTGGTTGAAAACATTTTTTTTGTTTGTCCTTTCCTATGCTTGAAAAGTATTCGTTTGTTTGTTCTGCATCTAACTGACAGTCCTCGTTGTTTATGTTAAGTTCACGCAGTCTGTTAACATATTTCAAAAACTCCTTTCTATCAAGTTTAACACGTTGATACGCTTTTTGAGTTTCCGCTATCAGTTTGTTTGTTTGATTTCGAACGCTTCTGTAGCGATTATTTTCAGCCCTAAGTTAAGTACGCATGAAAATTTGATGCATTTTTTTTTATTTTTTGCGAACAAGGTTTTTTTCATCGCGGTGCTAAACCAGGGATTTTTGGAAAATTTTGGTTTTGCATTTTATTTTCTGATAGGGAAAACCTAATTGTTTGATTGCAATTCCGTTGTTGTTGAATAAACTAGATAATCTATATCGTTACTATTCCAATCAATTTTATCCAGACGATCCTTCAATTTGTATAGAAATTTGCAGACTGTTCCTGTTTGATAAAAACAGGTATTATGAAAATGTCATTGGGATCGGGTTTTTTTGTTTTTATTTTTTTGAGACGCTTTGAACCGATTTGCAAAAAGTGGTACCAATGGGAAGTTCGCCCACTACCCTATGTGCCCGCCTGATTCACTTGTATCTTTTTACCGTACACTCTTCCTACAGCCTTCGAAAAGGGGTGAATTTTTGACCCGCATTTTTAGTTTTTTTTTACATTTTCTCAAAAACTGCCTGTGCAAATCTGAGATTTTGAGTTGAACGGATAGAACAGGTTGTGGGAAGCTCTCCTGCATAAGCGGCTACAACCAATTTTTTACACAAAAAGTTATTGCCCTCAGAAAAGTCGAATTTTCAAACTTTTTATTTTTCTCGAAAACTACCCTCCCAAATGTGAGGTTTTAGTCTCAATCGAACGGATGAGTTGTGGTGAGCTCCCCTGCCTTAGCGGCTGCGCTCAAATTTGTTCACACAAAAGTTCTGACCCTTACGATTTTTTGACCTTTTTTTAAACTTATGACTTTTCTTGAAAAGTACCCTCCCAAATCTGAGATTTTGGTTTCGATAAGTAGAGCGGGTTGTGGGAGCACCACTGTATGAGCTGTTACGCTCAATTTTGTACTTTTAAAGTTATGACTCTCGAAAAAATCAAATTATTGACTTTTTTGCCGTTTTTTTGAAACTTTTCAACTTCTCTCGAAAACTGCGAACCCAGATCTAATGAGCAACATCTTAAGCATATTTCAACCTACCAAGCTCTTGTTCCCACTTCAATTTCAAAGAAAACTGAAATAATTGATGAAATTAACCCAGTTTGAAGTCATTAAATTGGGATATACTTTTCTTTGCTATAGTTAGGTTTTTGAAATTAACGCTTGTCCTTCCGCATCAAAACAAAAATTTCAAAAACTATCAAACCGGCGTTTACAGCTTTAGCTGGCCTCTTGTATCATCATCCGAAATTTTCCCAAGATCCCTACGCCAAACAAAAGGAGTTATTTTTTTGTCAGGCGCTAGAACTAAGCTGGTGACCGTTGAAAGCATATAATCATCTTTTGTATCACAAGGCAAAATATAAGTGTTTTCATTGGTCAAATCACAATTAGTTATAACATGGTCAATGCAACTCTCTCGAATTTCTCCTGTTCTCGTCTGAGAATTTGTGTTAGTAAAAGAAAACTCATAAGATTAATTCAAATGGATGCAACTGCGCGTAAATTTGTTGTCTACTTTTGTGTCGTTATTAAAATCTTATGACCCTTACGATTTTTTGACCTTTTTCAAACTTTTGACTTTTCTTGAAAAGTACCCTCCCAAATCTGAGTTTTTGGTTTCGATAAGTAGAGCGGGTTGTGGGAGCACCACTGTATGAGCTGTTACGCTCAATTTTGTACTTTTAAAGTAATGACTCTCGGAAAAATCAAATTATTGACTTTTTTGCCGTTTTTTTGAAACTTTTCAACTTCTCTCGAAAATTGCCAACCCAGATCTAATGAGCAACATCTTAAGCATATTTCAACCTACCAAGCTCTTGTTCCCACTTCAATTTTTAAGAAAAATTTTTAAGAAAATTTTTGAAATAATTGATGAAATTAACCCAGTTTGAAGTCATTAAATTGGGATATACTTTTTTTTGCTATAGTTATGTTTTTGAAATTAACGCTTGTCCTTCCGCATCAAAACAAAAATTTCAAAAACTATCAAACCGGCGTTTACAGCTTTAGCTGGCCTCTTGTATCATCATCCGAAATTTTCCCAAGATCCCTACGCCAAACAAAAGGAGTTATTTTTTGTCAGGCGCTAGAACTAAGCTGGTGACCGTTGAAAGCATATAATCATCTTTTGTATCACAAGGCAAAATAAGTGTTTTCATTGGTCAAATCACAATTAGTTATAACATGGTCAATGCAACTCTCACGAATTTCTCCTGTTCTCGTCTGAGCATTTGTGTTAGTAAAAGAAAACTCATTAATTCAAATGATTAAAGAAGATTAATTCAAATGGATGCAACTGCGCGTTAATTTGTTGTCTACTTTTGTGTCGTTATTAAAATCTCCCACAATATAATACTTTTACTTTTGTAGGATAATTTTTTAAGAACGTTCCCATAATCAGTCATTAACAAGGTTGTTTTGATAATCGGAGAATTATAATTGGCAGCAACCGAGACCTTCATGTATTTTGCTTAATGTTCAAAACACACATTAAAGATAAGGTCAAAACACACATTAAAGTCTAAGTTGACCTCAATTACATGTAAGTAATTTTTGACAAAAATTGCTGCAGCGCATGCTTTGTTTTTAAAAGATAATGCAAAGATTGATTGATAACTGTCATTTTCAAAAAGTTCTGTTTCATTTGTTGGCCAAGTTTCACTCAAAACAATAACTGTCGGGTTAAGTTTTTGATTGCAAATAGCACGAAAGAGCTCAACATTTTTCGAAAGAGATCTGATGTTAAGAGAGAGAATTTCAAAATTACTTCTATCGTTCAATGAATTCTCTCATCTTTCATAAGAAGAAAATAATTTATCTGCAAAAAGTCGTGATATTACTATGAATAGCTTTCTCATTGAACATGTTAACTATTCTTTACAGTTAACTGTTTTTCCTTCAGGCGTGTAGCCCGTAGGCGAATTACTATGACCACGTTTTCTATCAGTGTTATAGCGTTGAGTAAGTTCATCATTAGTACTGGATACACGTGCCCGGATGGATACACCATTAGTACTGGATGCAAATTGTCGAACTGATATCAGGTACACTTGATTGCCGATTTTGCATTTTAACAGCAACTTTTTCAAGCTGCTCAATATCTTCTGATGAATTAACAGGCCATAATATAACCCCCATTTTCATTTGATACAAAAAGCTACTTCTCTAAATTGTTAGTCAGTCACAGCTTTGATACCCTTATTTCTAGCTAGATTGAGTAGATCACGGTTGTGGGGAGGGACACGTTCAGTGAAGTAAACTGGTTTTTCTGTAATGTTTTTCAGGTTGAATACTTGTCTCTTGGATCTCCACAAGAAATTTTTCCGATTGGAAGTAAACAAATTTTACAATTATTACTGAAGCTCTCGCTTTTTTCAGATAATGACAGCCTTTAATATCAGTGAGGGTATTAAAGCCTTTAATTTTCACCTTTCATTTCCGTGTTGTATCCTTGCTATTGTAAATTTCTGTTTTTAACACACGGTTTTTTAAATCTTGCATTTCATTAGAAATATAGACCAAGTCCTGATAATGAGTCTTATCCATTTGCGAAACATAATTTTCTAGATACCAAGTCTTTTTTTTTCAAATAATTTCAATTTTAAAGAATAGAATTCACTTTGCAAGCCTTGATTAGGCTTACCATCCCTGGTTGATCCTTGAAGGTGTCCAAACTTTCTTTTATATCCACGATATCCACAATAAAGCAGCAAATAAGTCTTGTTTGTAACGTAAGTAACAATCACACTATAAACGGCAAGAAAAACTTTCAAAGTTTTTGGCCTTTATTTGCAGACAGAATTTTTCTAGAAGGTCATTGAAAGAGCGACTGTTTGTTACTTGAAAAGCTTGTGATCCTAAAAAATTTAATCAATTTTACTAAGTGGTTTGGTTTCAGTCAAAATTTCAAGAAGAAAACTGTCGTGAAACTCGATCAGCTCTATCAACTTGTAATTTCTGTTATTTTAACGTCAACTACAGTACCATTAACCAAAAAAAACTTCTGAAAGAATACTATTTTCTTAAAAATAACAATTGTTTTTATTAGTAACTACTAATTACAAGAGGGAACGTTTGCTTTAGGTAGCGCAGGGTGTTTTTATGACAACTATTGCTGCACTGAAAATACTATTTAAAAACATTTTTATACGCACATTTTGTGTGCTTGTTGTGAGATGTTGCAGACGCAGAATACAATACTATTTAGCAGACTCCTTTACTACTATACTCCTTTTTTATCGTGAGAATAGAGAAAACAAATAGCTCGCGGTGGAAATCTAAGTTCACTGACATCCCAAAATCAAGTGATCATTTTTGTTATCGACTCGCTTATTATGAGTTCGAATAACAAAATCGGGACCTTTTTTTCCAAAATAGGGCTGAAAGGGTTTTTATATGATACCCATGTCATAGTTAATTATATAAGTGCTCGTAATTAATAACATGTTTTTAACAATCGAAGTAGAGACAATAGTTTGAACCGTGGTATTTTTTGTTTGTTTTTGTTTAAAAAAATGGCTTCAAAATTATATTCACTCTCATTTTTTTCCATATTTTGGTTTAGTGATGCTTTGTAGCTCACTTCGATTTTGTTTACTAAATGGATGTTAAATAATTAGACTCTCAAGTAGCAAATAATTCATTTTTCTCGCAATTTTATGGTCGTATTTCAGACTCTTATATAGGCCGAGATGTCTTTTGTACTTTTTCGCGGTTTGACTTGTGATAGTACAGTTCATTTCCTTTGTTAAAAGGAAGGCAAATTCCACTATCGAACAGAAAGTGTAAAGATCACGAAAAACGTGATCGACTTCACAGCGGAATAAAACTTTTCTTATTGATCCAGTTTTCTCAATTTGGGTTATTTTTTCTATCAAAAAAAAGTCAATAAAAAGTTATTCTAGAAATTCAAAGAGCTTTACAATCATTTATTTTTTTCTCTTCAAAAAACAAATCAGTTTTTTTTTCTGTTTACTTTCGTTCATTGACTCTTTTCCAACTGCTGTTGGCTATGTTTATTTTATGTTCAGTTCGTTTCCTTTGTTAAAAGGAAGGAAAGCTCCACTATTTAACAGCAAGTGTGAAGGTCACGAAAAACGAGAACGACTTCGAATTTCGAAAATGGAAAATAATTATCAATTTTCCCAGCGACACAGAAATTTTATCCATTGATCTTTTTTTTCAAATTGGGTAAATTTAATGCAAGAAGATTCATTCATAAATTTTTCTAGAAATTCCAAGACCTTTGAAGCCATTTATTTTTTTAAGAGTAATGAACGTAGTGAAAATTCTTATAAAGGTCTTGCTGTTTTTTTGTTTTTTTTTTCAGGAAAAATCTTAAAATTTGTTGACTATCGAACAGCAAAAGTGTGAAGGTCACAAAAAACGTGATCGCTTTCTAATTTCGAAAATGGAAATTAATTATAAGATTTCCCAGCGAATGAAAAGTTTCACCTGTTGATCCAGTTTTCTCAAATTGGGTTAATTTTAACAAGACGAGTGTTCATCATAAATCGTTCTTCAAATTCACAAAGCTTTACGGCCATCTATTTTTTCTTCGAAATTCAAAAATTGAAGATTTTTGAAAAACCAGTCTGTTTTGTTTTTAAGTTTCCTAGCGTTCATTACTCTTTTCCAATTGTCAGTTGGCTATGTTTCTTGGAAATTCGAAAGTTGAGATTTTTTTTAAACTAGTTATTATTTTTTTGTTTACTTGCGTTCATTGACTGTTTTCCAGCTGCCTGTTGGCTATGTTTGTTCTTTTTTGCTTAAAATATTAACTCGGATTAAAAATTTTCGGACGGCTTAATAGAAGGCACATTGGGCCCTCCCTCCAATGACAAAAATGCATTTCTCGAAAAAAAAACATATTTTTTGTGGTCGGAATATTCTTAGCTTGAATGATGTGGCATATGTTAGGAAATAAATTGTTGAAAATTAATTGCAATCAATTGCTCATTTTGGAGCAAAATTAATTGATTATTGGAAGCCAGCAGTAAAGTTAATTTTAATTTGGTTATCAAGTGACAATGGCCTAGTGAAGACACTTATATAGGTCGTATTTATTTTCGTTTCATTTTACAAGAAAAAGTCTTAGAAGAGGTCGTCTCGAATAACAAAAATTCAAATGGCGTCAACATGTGATTAACTTCGGAAGTGAACTTTAAATTTCAGGAATCTAGCAGAATAAAATTAGAAATCCTGTGATCCAGTTTTCTTAAATTGGGTAGTTTTTTTTATCAAAAAAAATCAATGAGAAAATTTTTATGAAATTCAAACAATTTGATGGCCGTTTATTTTTATCATTAAAATTAAAATGCTTCAAAAACAATCGTTTTTTTTTTTCGGTTTTTCGGCTCAATGATATTTTTCCAACGGTCTATTTGCTATATTTTAATCAAAAAGTATACCGGGTCGCGAAATTAGTTGGATTTTCTGCTCCGATAGCTTGCTCTATTTTAGAATTCATCTAAAATAGCTTGCTCTATTTTAGAATTCATCTCCTTGGAAGCCCCTCTGCAGTTTAATGCCATGTACAGTGTGTCTGTCGCCCAACCAATGTCTCCAGGACAACGAGGCGGAAAATAATTTCAAGCGCATCATTGGCCCAGATCCAATTCTCATCCAAAGTCCAGAATTCCAAAGATCATATCACTATCTAGACGCCTTCAATCAAAACAGAGATCTGTCTTTTTATTCTTACCAAGGCGAAATGCAAGATGGCCGCTTAGTAATTGATGTCATCAAGCGAAACAGTGGGCTCAATAATCCGACGTGGGCGCAGCTGTCTTTCTTTGCTAGGTTCTTGAATCTGCAGTTAATTGCTTGCGAACAGAACTTCTTTGTCAGATCTGGAGAGTTCGAAGGCTTCAAAAACTTCTACGTAAAACACTGCCTAATTGCAATGGCACAAGACTTTGCACTGCCTAGTTTAAGCATCGCTGACAACTCGCCTCTTTTTGGTCTGAACGAAAGTGAGACAAACTACGAAGTTCATCAAATTCGAAGAAGTTGGGAGAACTGTCCACATCCTTATGTTTTTATCAATTCAGACCAAATGACCTTCACATTCTTAGGCGTCTGCATTACTAATTCTAATTTACAAGATTGGAAAGGAAATGTCTTAGCCAGAAATGTTATGAGTGCTGATCTTCAGCAAAAGATAAAGCGACAGGCTTTCGATGAAAGGGACGTTTTGGACGAAAACTTTGACGAGCTTCAAGTTAACGTGAAACAAATGAAACTCTGTCGAGTCTTGGGGGTCGAGCCAAACCGAATCCGCTTCGATCCAACGTATGAACTTACCCAGGATAATGTCATGAAGCTGTTGGCTATTTACATGCGGTTTAGATGCAACATTCCAGTGGTTATCATGGGCGAAACTGGTTGTGGAAAGACGAGGTTGATCGAGTACCTTTGTAACATTATGGCTAGAGGAGAGAATGTGGAAAACAAGAAGTTCGTGAAAGTCCACGGTGGAGTTACAATGCAAGACATCGTGCAAAGCATAGAAGATGCTGAAAAGTTAGCAATCGCAAACACGCGAAAATTTGGAGAGGGATTTTACACCGTCCTGTTTTTTGATGAAGCAAATACAACAGAGGCGATATACGGAATCAAAGAAGTGATTTGTGATTTCAGTGTCAATGGCCGAAAATTGGACCCTGACTCGGGACTGAAAGTCATTGTTGCTTGTAACCCGTACAGAAAACACAATGATAAAATGATCAAGAAACTTGAGTCCCAAGGACTGGGATACCATGTCAAGTCCAGTGAAACAAAAGACAAGCTGGACTCCGATATCCCGATGCGTCACCTTGTCTACCGAGTGAACCCGTTGCCGCCGAGTTTGTTGCCGCTCGTCTGGGATTTTGGTCAACTGACTAGTGAAGTTGAGAATAAGTATATCAAGCAGTTAGTGTCAAAGCGAGCTGCCGATATGCGTCTCATTGAAGCCGATGTCGATTTCATCTGCAATCTTCTGAGCCGTTCGCAGAAATTCCTACGAGAAAATCGAGACCAATGTCTTTTTGTGAGTTTGCGAGACATAGAAAGGGCCATGGCGGTCCTGCAATTTTTTTACTCGAAAAAAGAGACACTTTTAGCTAAGATGGATGAACTGGATCCGAATTACAACAGCGAAGATGAAGATGATGATGAAAACGCACCAGATGCCATTAATGAGATAGCTCGATTGATGATTCTAACACTTGGAGTCTGCTATCATTCGTCTTTAGAGGAACGAGTAAAGTATAGAAAGACAATCACCGGGTCTTTCAAAGGTCCCTATAAATTACCCAATGGAGCCAAAACTATTTTGAACGAACTGGAAGTTTGCATGCAAGTGTTTTTACAAAACATTCATCTAGATGCTAAAGCAAACATTGCCAAGAACCTGGCGTTGACCGAAAATGTATTCATGATGATAATTTGCATCGAGCTAAGAATCCCGTTGTTCCTAGTAGGGAAACCGGGCAGCTCAAAATCATTGGCTAAGACGATTGTCATTGATGCTATGCAAGGAGAGAGTTCCAGGAATGAATTCTTTCAGATGCTGAAACAAGTTCAGATGCTCTCATTTCAGTGTTCACCTCACACGCACGCAGATGGTATCATCAGTATCTTTAAACAAGCAGCACTGTACCAGAAAGGCAAGAATTTGAAGCAGTTTGTTAGCGTGGTTGTCCTGGACGAAATCGGATTGGCGGAAGATTCGGCTAAAATGCCGTTGAAGACCTTGCATCCTCTTTTGGAGGAGGGGTACGTCGAATCCAAATCAGAGAGGCAAGACTGGGGAAAAGTAGGCTTTGTGGGGATTTCGAATTGGGCCCTTGATCCAGCCAAAATGAACCGGGGAATTTTAGTCAGTCGAGCTATTCCGAAATCAGTGGAACTGGTCAAAAGTGCGAGTGGTATATGCAGAGTAGAAATTGACGGTAATCTACTGGAAAAGTTCATTCAGCCATTGGCCGACGCTTACGAAAAGGTATACAAAGCTCAAATTAAAGATGGACACGCCGAATACTTTGGGTTGCGAGATTTCTATGGATTGTTGAAAATGCTCTACAGGGCGCAGATGACTCAACCCCAGAAAACTCTGAGGTGGGACACTGTTCGATGTGCGATTAGACGAAACTTTGGAGAGAAGGATTGCCGATATTTGCTAGTTTTTGCGGATGAGTTGATGAAAAAGCAAGCATTTGAAGATGCAAATGTAGGCGATGTTGAAACTTTGGAGTTGGTTCATCAGAACATCAAAGAGGCGGAAGAACGATCAAAACTGACTGAAGAAGATAGAAACTTAGACAACGAAAGTCGATACCTGCTGCTGATGACGGAGAACTTTTCGGCACTACAACTGTTGCCTCAGGTCTTGAAACTAGAAGAGTACGAGGTCATTTTTGGTTCATCATTCCCCCAGGATCAAGAATATATTCAAGTGTGCAAGAACATCAACAGAATAAAAGTTTGCATGGAAACAGGAAAGACGGTTGTGCTTCTGAATTTGAGACCCCTCTACGAGTCCCTTTACGATGCTTTGAACCAGTATTATGTGTACTACGGAGGAAAAAGGTATGTTGATCTTGGCTTAGGGTCCAATCGTGTCAAGTGTAGTGTCTCTGAGAACTTCCGGCTCATTATGATTGAAGAAGAAAAAATTGCCAGAAATTTCCCTATTCCCCTTTTGAACCGTCTGGAAAAACACTTCCTGGGAATGGAATCAATACTCAGCACAAAATTGGTTAAGTTACGACAAAAACTATCGCAAAACTTGATGGAGTTTTCGAATGTTCCGAGAACCGACAAAAAAGGCTCTTCATTCCATGTCCGCGACGCCTTTGTGGGTTACCAAAAAGATACGATTTCCTGTGTTTTAATCCAGGCTGAAAATGACATCTCTGACGAGGTGACGAATGAACAAATTCTGGAAGCAGCCAGTCTTAAACTGGTTCAAACATGCTCGATTGATGCTATTATTCGATCAAGCTCCGACGTCTCATTTTTCAACTCACATGACCTGAAAGAAATTTACAGCTCTCAGGGACGCAATAGTTTGTCTGACTTTTTGTGGCAGCAGTGCTACAACAAGAAATGTAAATCCCCCTTGATAGAAGTTTCAACCTTCTGCCGAATTCCATCGTCCAAAAACATGAAAGACTGTAATCTGACCCTGATGCAAAGAGAGCAGACGCTAGTGTCACAAGAGAGACATTTCGTGGTTAATTTGAATGTATTCAAAACTGAAATCGAGTTCGCCGAAAGAGTGAAAGACTTTTACCGAATGGCGGCTAAGCATCCTGATGTGACAAAACTACTTTTTGTCACATGCTCAAGAGGTCAAAAGTTTGTCCCGCTTATTGCGTCAGCAAAATACAAACTGCAGAATTTGCATACTGATTGCAAGGTTCCAAACTTATATTCTTTGTTCATAGTTGAGCTCCCGAGGAATTGGTACGAGTCAGACTACAGTAGCTTCTCAGTTGGCAAGTGGGAAAGTTTCCACATCGATGAGCTCCTAAGAGACGAAGAATATCAAGTTCTGTCTGACGTTGCTATCTCTCAAGGTCAGACGTTGAAAGATCTGTTTGTCCTTGAAAACGGAGAGTGCACTAAATTCCAGAAAAAGTTGCTATGTGAAGTTGTATACGAGGCGATTGGCGATGCGGACGAAGGCGATAAAGTTCAAAGAGTGATAAATGTTTCACAATTGTTTGAGCTACACCATGTTCCAAGTTTGGAGATACTTTTCTTGGAAAAAGCGAGTGCTTTCATCGAGGAATCAGAAGAAAAGGAACAGATTAAAGAATGGGTCGCACAGAAAGCGGCTAACTTGCAAGATTTGATTGTGGCAGGAACAATAGAGAACGCCTTGTTCAAAGAACTCCAAGCGAAGATAAAACCTCATTTGGCGGATTTCCTGAAGCTGATCGACTTTAACAACAACATTAAACTGTTATTTGAAGCAAACTGGAGGAAAGAAGCCTGGATGAGACTTTTCACCGTGAAAGAACTATGTCGACTCAGACCTCAAAACCCGAGAGAAGTCAAATTTGATTCTAGGTTTCCGTTCAGTTCTGAAATTATTGACAAATTGAACTCAATGTGGATCGATTCCCTGGAAAATTTTGCCGATTCTGAGCTCGAAGATTGGCAGTTTTTTGTGGAAAGGTTTAACAATCAGGGAAGGGAACTTGGAAATGAGTTAACTGAGATTTCAAGCGAAGAAGATGCAGTCGATTCATTTCTTCACGACTTGATCTTGTACGAGTTTTGGTCAATGTGGAAAAACAAATATGTTCAAGCCGAACATGTGAAAGTTATCAAAAAGGCACTAAAATCAATCATGAAGAGTAACTTGCCCGAATTCGAAAACCCTACAATAGCTTTTGCTTTTGCGCACTTCATGAAGCTTTTGCCTTGTCTGCACGCTATATCCCCAATTCTGAAGTATTTCGGATCATTCAAAATTGGAAACCCGGAAACCCATGAGCAGTTCGTTTCCATGATAACTCGAACAGCTCTAGAACAAACTAAATCGATGGCTGAAAAACTGAAGCCGGTCAACATTGATCGTCAAACGATCCAAGAGCTAGACCAACAAGTGTCCGTTTTGAAAATGTGCTCTGGAATTGAACTCGATGATGATAAATTCAAACTCAAGAAATTAACAATGCTTTCAACCTATATATCACAGATTTCGCACAATCTTGACGATGCAACTGCCAAAATGGCATGTACAGCTTCCGATACGCTCTATAAAGCTGTGAGTTCAAAAAATGCAGATGAATCAATTTTCGGAACCGATAGTTTTCGAAACCGATTGCTCTTTTGCTTGAACCGATCCGCAGACACAGTTATTCAACATTGCGTCGAGGCAGAAACTGGTGACAGAGACTGCGCATTTTGCAGAAAACCAGTTACTGCAAAAGGAGCAATCCCTTTCTCACTTCGATGCAATGGAGGTCACGCAGTGCATGAGTCATGCTTGACTGAGAGAATGGAAAGTATTACTCAAGGCGAAACGGTCACGTGCAGGTTCTGCCAGCAGAGCCTCGATTTTGAGTTTTTACAGGCGAGTACAATGTTTTCGTGTCAAATTGAGCCTCAAAAATTGATTTGGAAACAGTTTTGGATGAATATTTCGAATGTTTTTCTTGCAATCGTCAAAGAAAACGTGATCGCAATTTGCGAAGAAGAGACGCTCAAAAATTACTTGGAAATTTGCGTTGCTCCTAAGAGTAGAACTAGCAAAAAAGACACGGCTTGGATCACAGATCAGACCAGACAAGGTCTTCTGACATTAATTGCGACTAGCGAAAAGGGTGAAAATTTGGACAAAATTCTAATGACGATTATAAACGAGGACAACGAAATAGGTGCCAATGAAATTGATCTAGGCCCAACATACGATATGCTTCTGTCAATTTTCGAGTACGTTTACTTCAATGAAAGTCTTCAGGTTACGGATGATCTTAATCGCGAAGAAATTTCTACCGTTAATCAAATCCGATTAGTCGCCGAGGTAAAAATTGCACTATCAAATTTTATCATCAAATCAGTTGTACCCAATGCTTATAAAGGACCCCAAGCATTCACAGACCCAATTCCTATGTTAGTTAGAGAAATTTTAAACGATGCAGGAGAGAGCGCCGAATGCGTTAAGCGATACTTCATTCAGTGTTTATGCCGTGGTCATGGAATGGACCTGTACCAGCGCGTAAAGACATTCCCCCAACTTGCTCCCCTGGTCCCACAAATTTTGCTCACTTCACAGAGCCAAGGATTTTCAGATATTTTCCTCATCTTTAGAGGCGCATATCAGACGCCCTTCAGCGAGGTATATACTAGTTTGGTCACCGATGCTAACGAAGGTCTTCAAAGACTTAGTCTAGTTAGGGACGTACATATGAAAAACATAGTGGCCTACCGCTTACTCGCAGAAATAAGGTCGAAAGAAAATCGACCAGAGAGCTTTGCTCAGTTTGAGGAAGCGATTATGGCAAATACAGTAATACAAGGTTTAAGTAGAAGTGTGATCGATAGAAATGATAGACTCGCCCCAAACATGGACGTTTTGAGGCAGTTTCTGTTTTATTATCAGACATTTTTGGAATTCCAAGAAAACTGCGGGTGCTTGCAACCGTTCAAGGGCATCTTCACTGCTCCTGGAAGAGCAGATGGACTTTACTTACCGACGTTTCCAGATAGTGGAACTAGACGTGCTAGATTGATGGGGCAAGCAATTGGACAAGGCTTCACTACTTGGAACCAATGTGCAAATGGTCATCTTTACATGATTGGTGATTGCGGACAAGCTGCTATAGGCGGAACATGCCCAGACTGCCGAGCTCCTATTGGAGGAGCTGGGCATGCCTTACATGCCGGTAATCGATTGGTGGGAAACCGCGATGCCAATATCAACGTCACAAACGGTCAGGTAGTTACTGGCTATGTACATAACCACAATTTGAACGTCTTCGACAGAGCTTTTCTTAATGAGTTTAATGGAAATGTGATGCAATTTTTTGTTCACGCCACATTGTACATCTGTAACGGTGACCAAGAAATGCTTGCAAGATTGCACACAAATGTGCGAAACATTGCCAGGACTTCTCTCAACAGAAGTGAAGAAGATGCTTTGAAGTTCCTCTTGACTGTTGTGATTGATTCTACGAATAAAAATATACAGGGATCGCTTGCAAGTGAGGAGCAGCGCGAAGCATGGGAAGCGAATTTCATAAACATCATCAACAACACGCTGCAAAAATTGCATAATGTCATTGCTACTTATGATGAGGCGTTCAAAAATGATTCGAGAAACGAATCCAGTAACCTTCTTGAAGTGTTAACTGAAAGAACAGAAAGAGGCACTGATGATAATGTTCTCGCTTACGGAAAATTTTGGCGAAGACTCCCAAAAGTCAGTTTGGCGAGCGTGCGGAACGAATTGAATGCGAATGGTGAAAATTACAAGTTGCTTGATTGCATATTCAAGAACAAAGAATGGCTGCCAAAACTCCGCCATGTTCCTGATTTAATTGAGTTTTTCAATAACATTGTATCATACTATGATCCGGACACCTTGCATAGCGTAGTGACGCTGGACAGTTTCCTCAGACAGCGAAAAATCCCCGAACAAGTGAGAAGAAAGATGAAAGAGGTTTCTATGGTTTTCTGCAAACTATGGAATGAAGAAATAAGACATATGCCAACAACCGGAGGCATCGACTGCTTGTTTAAAGAAAAACTGAAACTGGACTCTTCTCTGAAGTACTTCCTTCCTTCTCGTCACGTGAGCGACTGCTGTGCTCTGGTCACTTTGAATATCTTGGTGAACAAAAACAACGAGTTCATTGAAGCGTATAGATCGGCTCTTCACATTGAAACCCCGTTAGTATACTTAATCATTTAATTCCAATTAATTTTTTTTCAAATGAAAAGGTTTTCAGGGTTTTTATCACAAGTTTTGTGCAATTTATGCATATGTTATTATAGATGCGTTAAAAATGTTCTATGATCTGTGTACCCGTCTTTATGCAAGTAACTGGCAGCAACGCTAAGATTACTAGGGGAACGGAAAGGTTAAGATAACTAGAAGGGGCAGTTATGAATTAACTAGAGAAACAGAAGAAATAAGAACATTTAGAAAAAAAAGTGACATTTGAAATACTTAGGTTTTAATTTGAAGACATTTTGATATTTGAGTTCAGCCAACTTAGTTGCATTGCTGCGTTTTCAGTTTTTTAAAGTTAGAAGTTGACTGGATATTGTGACTTTACTGAGTTTTCAATTCGTGCGCTAATGGCGTGTACATGGCCGGGCCCATTTGCAGGTTTCAAATAAATATTGGTGTCGTAGTAGTGTCCTGATAATTGTCGAAGTTTCTTGGTTCTATTGTGGCTGAGTTGTCATAGTAGACAGTCAAGCAGTTCGTGGTGTATCTTCTTCCACAACTTAAGAAAGTTAAACGGCTGGTCGAGTCAGGAGTACACGGCTTGTCTGAATTTAGCATGAGCGAACAAATCCGTCCGATCCGGGATAAAGTACGTTGTACCCGTCCCAGGGGCCAAAGACCGCGAGGTGCCAGATCTTCTAGTAACCAAATTAAATCTCCAGTTTGGATGTTCTGAGTTGGCTGTGTCCACTTAGTTCGTGTAGTCAGTGTTGGCAGGTAGTCTTTGAGGTACCGGTTCCAGAAATGCTGGTTCAGAGCTTGAGCTTGTTACCAAGTTTTCCTTTGAGGGTGCGAAGTAAAATTAAACCAGGGGGCAAAATTGTTGAAGGTCGTCCTAGTAGAATGTGGCACGGCGTCAAAGCTTCAGTGTCGGTAGGGTCTGAGGAGACGGTTGTCAGTGAGGGTAGACAAAGTTTCGTCGCTTAGTATCCTAGTTCCAATAACTTTGTAAAACGCGTCTTTGAAAGGCTTGATTAGTATTTTTCAAGAACCAGCAAAATGAGGGGCGGCAGGTGGGTTGAATTTCCAGGTGATTCCAGTCAGTTGGCATTGCTGTTTGAAGTGGTCGTTTTGTTGTAAGTCGTTGAGGCTCTGTTGCATTTCTTTGTTAGCTCCAACGAAACATTTTCCGTCGTCCAAAAAGATTAGGTTAGGTTTTCCGCGTCGGGCTATGAATCGACGTAGGGCTTGAAGAGTTGAGTCTGCATCATTTTTATGACAAATTTCAGAGTGAACGGCGCGTGTCACTAGGTAGGTGAAGAGAGAACATATCGCTTGCTGAACTTCCCATTGTTGCGTGTGAAAAAGGGTCCAAGGAAGTTGATTTCAGTCGATTGGAAAGGAAAGGCGTTGTCAGACGAAGGCAGTCATGATAATGGTAGGTCGGCCTTATGAGGGTTGAAGGGTTCTTGTCGTATGCGGCGGCAGGGTATGCATTGTCGAGTGATCCTTTTCAGGTGCTTGCGTGATCGAGGGATCGAAAATTCCTGTTGCAGAATGCTGCTGCTGTGCTCGATTCTACAATGGGGGTTGCTGTCGTGTATCTGTTGCATAAAGAGCTGTATTGGGCAGCTATCTTCATTTAGAATTACGGGATGTCGGCTTGATAAAAGTTGCGGGGCTTTGGCGTCCGTTTGCGCGAACAAATCCAAAATCATCGATGAAGGGGCTGGAGTCGGCCGCGGGCAGGAATTGGTGTCTTCTTTGTCAGGCACTGAATTTCCTTCGGGAAATCCTGTCGTTGAGTCTGCTTGATGATGAAAGCCAACCCATTTGCTAGATGCTGCAGTGAGTGAGCTACAAGTCTTTCTCTTGAGTTTCTGCACGAAGAGAAGAACGTGAGATGTGACTTTGAGGGCTTTCGTCCAATTGCTGTAGCGGCTGAAATCAATGCGTAAGTACAGCATTCGGTTGAGTAGGCGAGTTAGTGCTAGGTGAAAGAAGGAAGGCTGGTCCTTTGATCCATCGGGAGGATCAAGTCATGTCTGAAGCTCTATATCCACGGGTGCCGTCGTCGGCTGGGTTGTCTTCGCTGGGCACGTATCTCCAGTCCAAGTGCGATTTGGTGCCCAGTATGAGGTTAAGGCGGTTGCTAATGAAGATCCGGTGGCGCTGATTGGGTGTGTTGATCCAGTGAAGAACAGTTGTGCTGTCGGCCCAAAGTGTCAAGCTGCTGTTTGTGATGTCGTGCTGTTCTTTCAAACTTGGCTAGTTTGGCTCCATTGGTTGCAGCTTGAAGTTCCAGAATGACTATTCCGATATGGAACTTCTTCTTTTGATGGGTGATACTCGGGTTTTTCCCAATACAAACTTTAGGTCCACTGTGTTGTCGTTGTAAGTGATCCTTAGGTATGCAACGGTTGCAAGGGCAGGTTATGTGGTGTCGCTGAACATGTGCAGTTGAATATCGGTTGCTTTCATTTGTGGTCGGAAGTACGTTCGAGGCAGTTCCACGTTGTTGAAGTATTCGCTTTCGTCGATCCAGTCGTTGAGGTCGGAAAAAATTGTCAAGTCGAGGGCTTTATCCCATTGGGTTCCAGGCGAGTTGTGGGCTCTGTCGGAGGTGAATTTTTAAGGGCATGGTGTTTCCAAGCGGGTCAAATAGTGAGGAAGCGAACTTGAGGAGTTTCCGTTGCGTAATGTCCACTTTCCTAAGTGTCTGAAATTTCATGGCTTCCACGAGAAATTGATTTGAGTCAGGCTTCCATTTGACTCCAAGAACTCACTCCAATGGTCTGGCTTCAGTGTTACGGCTGTCTTAATCTGCGAGTTGTTCTTCTTCAACGCTAAGAAGGAATTGTGTAAAGTTGGATGTCCATTTCGACAAATTGAATCCACCGAGCCTAAACATGTGCTGGAGATCGGAGCTCAGTCTGATGGCTTCTTCGGTCGTTGAAACGGCTTTGTAGAGGTCTTCCATGTAAAGGTTCCGTTCGGTTATTGGAACTAAGTCGGGGATTTTGGCATCGTTATCCCTTGCGCATCGTCTGGTTGCGTAGCAAGCAACAAAAGGAGAGTCGGTTGCTCCAAAGATGTGTCGCGTGTACTGGTATATGATGATGTTCTGGTTGTCGTCCTTCCACAAAAAACGTAGGTATGGCTGGTCTGCTGGGGTCCGAATACATAAATGAACATTGCTTCAATGTCGGCTGAAATGGCAATTTGGTCCTCGTGAAATCGCATGATTCCTGTAAGGTTGGAGTGAAGGTCAGGTCCGGTGAGTAGGATGCTGTTGAGGGAGGTTCCTCTCTTGATGCTAGAGGCATTGAGTACTCGGCGTAAATTGCCGCGTTTGTCGGCGTTTGTTATTGGGTGGGAAGGCAGGTACCAACATTCTTCGTTGTCATTGCTGTTGACTTGCTCGATGAATCCTTTGCGTAAGTCGGTCGTGGTGGTCTCCTCGTATTTGCTGTGAAGTTCTGGTTTGCGTTGAAGGTGGGCTAGGAGACTTTGTAGTTGCTTTTTTGCAGGCCATTAGTTGTTTTTATAGATGTCGAGTCTTCTTCCATAGTAGTCCAATCTGGTTATGTCCATTATCGAGGAGGCGTTGTTGTTTCCAAGATTTAGAGAGCGTCTTTGTCGTCACGTGAAAAACTTGGTTTATCTGGCGTCGAGTTCTATCCACTCGGCAACATGGCGAAACATATGATCGTCGTTTATGAAGTTCGTTATGTTGACGTCGTCGGGTTTGCTGCGCTGTCTCTACCCCATAGAGAGAAACCAAGTGGCGTGTTCCAACCAAGGGGTACATTAGCGGATGACTGTACAAGTTGGTGTGACAAGGCGGTTGAAGTCGCATCCCATGATGATTTCAATGTCCTTTGTTGGTAACTGGGCTAAGAGGATATGCCTGAGTTTTTTTCCTTTGGCAAATGCTGTTAACTAGGGCTGGGTTGAAGTCCGGGTGGTTCCAAACCTTGATAACGTCGATGTCGTCTAGTTCGTATGGCTGGTTTGTCGTTGTAGCTTCCAACTGATATGGTCATTTTGGCGGCTGATGTGTCAGAAGAGGTGAGGGCTACTGAAGTTAAGCAAAATCAGTTTGCTGGCACGTCGAGCATGGCGTAGGCATGTACATCTTTGCTTTCATACGATATGGCTATTTGCGTATTTTGCATACCCTTGTTCGGGGTCTCCGTCAAATACTTGTTGATGATGTTTGTGGTGCTGTTTGTCTGTGATTTTGCGTGCTGTTTGGCGGTAAGGGCAGATCGAACGAGCGGAGTAGAAACATTACTGTGAACTCGCGAAGATATAATTTTAACTTTGCAATCTGAACGTTGCCTAATTGCATAGCGTTTATACTCCATCTGGGTCTTTCTATAGACCACTTCAACTGTTTTCAATTGGGCGAGTAACTGTTGTTGCATTTGTTCTTTATGGCCGCTCATTAAATGAATAACAATATCGTTCAGGGGCTTAATGATAGTAGCTAAATCTGTCATCAGACTTTCAACTACTTCAGGCTCGTCATTATTTGTAATGACACCTTTAATTGTATTAAATAACGTGTTTGAATCACTTTCAGTAACGTTTCTATTTGAGTTCATTTTTGAAAACTGTGATCTCGTAGCAGGCATTAAATTTAACGAAACAAAACAACGTAGTTCTGACTAACAGTTTGAAAAGGAGGTCTAAAATAATCCAGTCGGGATGCAGTAACACACGAACCAATTCAAAGAATAAAAAAATTTAATAAACAAACTTAAATAACAGTCGAAATCCAAAAATGTCGTAGATTCGCTTTCGTAGTTGGGCGCCAATGTCCCCGTCTTTATGCACATACCTGGCAACAACACTAAGATTAGTAGGGGAACATGAAGGTTAAGATATCTAGAAGGGGCAATTATGAAATAACTAGAGAAACAGAAGAAATAAGAACGTTTAGAAAAAAAAATAAAACCATTGTTCTCAGGAAATTGGCCAGGTCTTTGTA